ACCTGCTGAAGAGAGAAAAAAGCATTTATGACAAATGGGAACGCTCCTCCTGTGGTCACTAACAGCACCTCGAAACCTGTTTCCTCAGGTCGGTAAATCTCACCCTAAAGACTAACCAGAAAATTCCTCACTGAGTGGCCAGGGAAAGGGTAAAACATTTCAGCTGAGGAAATAGTTTTTATGATTTTTAGCCTATTATCCACATAATGAACATGTGCAGTCCAAGCTACCTAACCAGCTGGCATATCACTCAAATTCTCTTCAAGGAAAAGCAACTACCTTTTTTTTAATATGCTGAGGCTCATCCAGTTGGATGTTTCTTGGCTGTAAGGATGCAATTTAAAAGTGTCCACCTCAGATCTACAAAATTTCTACACAGTCAAGTCTTAAAGAGCAAGAAACTGTTTTCTGAGTGTTCTGTAAACATCTTAGAATGGAGAATTTGGGGATTACAAGCATCCTGCTTACTTTACAAGAGGCTCTTTTCAATATAGTGAAGAACTTCTGCGGGAAAAGGGAAGTCCTAAGTGGAAACACGGCATGCCATCTAAGTTTAAAGACCAAAAAAACACCTTAGACCTTTTGGATAATTGCCAGGGCATCTTCAGAAATTTTGCTTGTGAAAGCAAAACCACAGATCTGCACCTACTGATTTGCATGTATATCTTAGCAATCCAAAGTGAATCTACAAGCCAGCACAGAAAACGGACAAAGGTGAAGAGCGTGTGCCTCAGTATTTATATGGTATTCTCTGGTCTGCCTTCAAACACAGTACCGCTGGATTTGGTGGTCCTAAAGACAATACTGAGTAGTACAGTTGTCCAGATTTCTCATTGTTGCAGTTTATCATTTGTGATCCTAACTTCACTCTGTAAGAAAACTATGGGAGTGAGTCCACGTTACCCAGAAAGCCTGTAGGACACATCACTGATTTTTGTGCCTCTAGTTATCTAGCTGGCCATTGTGGGTCAGACAAATACAGTAGAAAATAAAAATCAATTGTACACATAAAGTGCACATTATTGATGAGTAGGAATGAAAAGGTCTTGATCTTCAGAGAATATTTCCACGATTGAATGATTTCTGTGGTGTTTGACCCCGAGCTAAGAAAATATAATATAGTTGTTAAAGTTTGGGCGATGTTTTGCAGGAAACCCACCACTGATGAAGAGCCAGTGAAGTAGCTTCTAGACCTGGAAAAAAAATTACTATTCTCTTCTTACATAAGTATTTTGTTACTAAACACTGAGCGTTGGTATGACAGTTTGTGTAAATAGTCACATCTGCAAAATGTCTGGACTAAGGTAAAGAGCAGCATTGGTGCTATAAAATTGTCATTGCTGCTTGAATTCATTTTCTCTCCCGCCTTGTCAAATTGTCATTTGACTGAAATACCATTTTAAATGAGATAATGCATCCCAGAACATTATGTGCAGATCGTTAAATGTTCATCTTAACATTTATCTTTTACAGAACAAGTAGATCCCCAGCCACCGTAGTTCAGTCTTACCAAACACTTAGGATTTTCAAACAAAGCTTCAACATCTTTGCGGGAGGTGGGTTGGAGGGGTCTGTGGACCACTTCAATGGACTTTGAATTTTTTTCACCAATAGCAGAAAAACTTTTAGAAACGTACTTTAAGTACTCGATAGAGGAGACATGTTTAGAAACCTGCTTTAAGTACTTAATAGAAATGGCTGGCTGTAGACTTATAGCTTGCCAAAATGATCGAATACTTCCAGGCAAGCTGTCATTTAACTATGAAATCGGACGTGACCTATTGACTGATCCTCAGCACCAAAATTAAAAGATAACGATTAGCTTTTTAGAGTTCTCAGCAGAGGAAGTTTATTTATCCTATACAGGACACCTGGATCGGTGATACACTTCTGCAGGGTGCTGAGGAGAGTCATCTAAAAGAGCATTATGGTGCTAGATATACTTCTAAAGTCATATTGATCTTGGCAGTGGAGTTACACATTAATACCAGGCATGCCTAACAAGGCCGTATCCTTGGCCATTGGGCTGATAATGCTGGCTCCAGGACAATCTTTGTACACAAAACAAGCATATTTCTTTGCCAGTCTTTCCTTTTCTACAATGAGATCTCTCTCCCTCTCCTCTCCCCAATGTCTTTTGCTGACATTTCCTGAAGTTTAGAGTGTTTGAAAGGGTGTTCTCCAGCCTACCATCGGTCCCCATAATACACTGTAGCTGTCTGACTGGCTCAAAAAAAAATTCAGGTAGATTTTAAGGTCTCTTAAATAATTTTTGTGTGCGTCAGCTCAGCTTACAAGCTGTCATGTATCCCTCAGTGCCAGGCGGACTTTTTAAAGGTAGCATTTACTCTTAGAATTTTTATGTAAGCAAAGGAAGAAATTATTTATGATGAGGGTGGTGACACTCTGGAACAGGTTGCCAGAGCAGCTGTGAATGCCCCATCAGTGGAAGTGTTCAAACACAGGTCGGATGGGGCTTTCAGCAACCCAATCTAGTGAAAGATGTCCCTGCCCATGGCAGGGGGTGTGGACTAGGCGGTATTTTACAGTCCCTTCCAACCCAAACCATTGTATGATTCTATGTACCGTTAGCCTGTAGAACTTTCGCTGCCATTCTTTCACTTTCTCCTTCTTCACATTAATCTTTTCTTTTTTTAAACTCAGTGAAGGGTAATTTAGGCTAGGGAGTATTCATTCTGTTCCAGTGCCTCCACCTTTTTTCTCCTCTAGGGAGACACAAAGAATGGTAAGTTTGTGGAGTAAAGGTGCAACTGTGGGTTCTGTTTCTAATTCTGCCACATGCTGACATGGCGAGGATGTATAGTGTATAGCTTCATCGAATCTTTTACCATAAGTAAGCGGGTTCTTCAGTAGAAGAAACCCATTTATTCACCCGAGTCGCAGGGCGACTGCTGCAACGATCCATCTAATGCAAAGAAAGGAATAGGAAAGGGAGGAATTTAAAAGAAAAAGTTAACAACAGTAGGTTGTAACCCATGAACAATTATATCAATTAATATATGTGGCCCTTGCCTTCCTAAACACCTAGAAAATCCCTGTTCTTTGAGACTAGGCAGTTTGTGTGCTCTTTTATACTGGAAAATATTTCAGCCTGTTCTCAGTGTTCTTCCTGCTGAGGTAATGCGGAGGGGTAGCTGAAGGCCTGGGATAAAAAGGGGACTTGTGTCACCTGGTCTGTTTCTACAGGCTATACATAAGTATCACTAGCAAGAAGAATGACTGACACCTTTAGTATGTCCGACACTTAGACTGGAATGCTAATGACTTGCTCCTAAAAAGAATTACTGAATTATATGAATGGGGAAAATTATGTAAAACAGTTGCCACATTCTGGGCTGTTTTAAAGAAGTCAGTATGATAAGTAAAATGGCATAAAGAGAATAAATGAGAGGTGCAGAATCATAGAATATAAAGACAGGCGATGTCTATGAAAAGGGAGTGAGTCTGCAGGGGCCAAAAGTACTACCATTGGGTTTTTACATCAGGAGTGTGCTGCTAAACGGTTCCAGGAGAACAGACTGCAGAAATTTACAATTACAGTATTTGGGAGGATTTACCTTCTTCACTTTTGCACAGGCAAGCTGAGTGTTTGCTGCTACTGAGATATGTAAACTAAAACTTAATCTGAAAGTTTTCTTTTATCCTGTTTGTCTGAGGCTGAGATCATTCCTAAAACTTGGAAGGTACTGGGGAGGTAAAGGGCAAGATAATCTGAAGGAATTTAGAGCTGCAGATTTTTCATTTCTAGATTTTTTAATGAGATTATTTCACCGGTCATAGCTAAATTATCCTCGGAGCAGTATCAGACTGAACAACAGATTGATTTTCTCCTCCCTCCATCCCTAGCAAATATAAATTCAATGTGCAAAGCTTGCACTCCATTACTTGCTCCTGTAGTGAAATAATCTGCTTAAAATGTGAAATTTACTCACACGGACAGAAGATGGCAGGGGTTGTAACTTTTTATCGGACGCTGCAGATGTTTAATTTTACACATTTTTGTAAAGAAAGGTATGTTTTATTTTTAATTTGCTGTTTATTTTTAATTTTTTTATCTTTAAAAAATGTCTAACTTGCCTGTTTGTACACTGATTTGCAAGAGTATTTTCATGTTTAGTAGGCTACCTTAACATAAAGTTTCCTTTATAGTCATCGGTATTGCAGCTATAAGACTGCAACTTCTATTTGATTTCTTAACACTCCTGTTTTACAGGGTGAAAATGAATCCCATTTGAACAGAAAACACTGCGATAAACCACCTTTATCCTAAAAAACCCCAGATTATTCTGTTTTTAATATGACTAAATTCTATTGAATGGTACTGTACGTACAATGAAAAGGTAAATCTACAGACGTACTGGTTATCCTCGTGCATAAAAAAGAAAAAGATTTTTGTTAGCGTATACAATAATATAAACACTGAAAAGGAATTAAAATCTTGTCCACAATGTAGTATCCTGTAACGGAGAAAGAAACAAACACAGGAAAGAAAGGCAAGATATGCAATTATACACATGTATTACCAGTTTATCTGTATTCAAGATGATAATCATTTAGGAAAATGCTGATAGAGAATTTTTGCATAAATCATTTATTTTTCACAGAGTCGGAGCCAAAGATAGCGACACTTGACACTTCGGCACTCTGTTCTGTATTTCAAATGCAGGTATCATTGATCAGTGGAAACTGGACCAATTATGGTGATTTTATTTGTTTATCATTGACATTCGCAAACAAAAAGCAATTGCCTGCTCCAAATTAAATGCTTAAACATATTTTTTAATTTAACAATGCAATTTGGGCAAGATGTCTTATTCCCTCTCGAGTTCCTTTGTATAACCAATTTTTGCTGCAAAACAGTAACTGGACATTACCATAACTTCCGCTGCGAGGTGGGGCTCGGAACATCTGAAAAGGAGGACAGGGAAATATTCTTCTATCTTCATAAGTGTCCTAAATATAAATGTACCGCTCTCACACTGCTGTCAGATGATGGTTAAACCAAACTGCATAATGCTCTTAAAATCCTACAAGTCAGGCACCTTAGTTTCCACTGAGTTGATGCCACCTGAGGGTGCTTAGTACCTCATAGTGATATGCTTATCAGGATGTCTTTTACTGATAAATTAGACATGGGTGGATGATGCACTTCTCCATCTTGTAGATGAGAGAGAATAATACCCAGATTATCAATGAGCAGTGGGTCATGTTGCCATGGTCACAATGTGAGATACGATGGGTTTTCCCAGTGTCATTTTTTTTGTAATGCATTAAGGAAGGACTGCAGCTTTTACAATGTTTGATACCTTTTTTCTCCCATACATTTTAGTGTTAAAATGGCAGACTAACCATGGGAGACTGGAATTTCCTTGGAGGCATTTTAGAGGAGGTCCACATTCATTCCACTATTATTGGAAAGATTTGGCTAACAATCCTCTTCATATTTCGAATGCTTGTCCTCGGAGTGGCAACTGAGGATGTTTGGAACGATGAACAATCAGAATTTATATGCAATACCGAGCAACCTGGTTGCAGAAACGTGTGCTATGATGAGGCCTTTCCCATCTCTCTCATCAGATACTGGGTCTTGCAAGTTATATTTGTGTCTTCCCCTTCCTTGGTGTATATGGGTCATGCCTTATACAGACTAAGAGCCTTGGAAAAAGAGAGGCAAAAAAAGAAAGCTCAGGTGAGAGTGGAACTTGAAAGCACTGAATTAGAAATGACTGAAAATCGGAAAAGACTGGAGAGAGAACTCCGGCAATTGGATCAAAGAAAGCTAAACAAAGCACCTCTGAGAGGCTCTTTGCTCTGCACTTATGTGATACATATTTTCACAAGATCTGCAGTGGAAGTCGGTTTTATGATTGGGCAGTATCTTCTTTATGGCTTTCATCTAGATCCCCTTTATAAATGTCAGAGAGATCCATGTCCAAACACAGTCGACTGCTTTGTATCTAGACCAACAGAAAAGACAGTGTTCATATTATTCATGCAATCAATAGCGACTGTATCATTGCTTTTAAATATCCTAGAAATTATCCACCTAGGATTCCGAAAAATTAAAATGGGACTCTGTGGGCAGAATAAAAACAAGGACGACCCTGACAATTTCTATGTAAACAAATCTAAGAAATACTCTGTGATACCGCACTCTTCTTTGGGAGTATCCACCACCCCTCAAAAAACTCTTCCTTCTGCACTTAGCGGTTATACCTTTTTAATGGAAAAGCAAACTGACACTGCTGTCTACCCGGTTCTAAATTCTCCTCCCATGTTTCAGTCAGTGCAAAATAACTGTACAGAAAGCAGCAGCAATTACACCCATCGCAATCAGGAAAATAAATCACCAAAGAGGAGGCCAGCTACAAATGCTTCAGACAATCAGACTCGAAATACTAGCACAAATAATAATGAAGGCTTGCTTGGCAAGCTTGGGACTGAAGCACATGATGTGCAAAAAGAGGCTGAAAAGAAACATTTCCTTGTTGTTACTCAGAATGCAGATATAGCTTTGAGCACGTGCTTGAGAAGCTTTGCTGAAATGCCATCTCAAACTTCACTGCGACCCAATACCACTTTTCCTATTACTGGTATCAGAAGACAACATGGAATTGGTTCATCTTGGAACTGCTCAGCAATGGTTGAGAGTGCAGGAGCTTCAACAAATTCTCTTCCAAAGAACAGCAACAGAAGACAAAGCAGTTTCAGTGCAAACAAAGCCCAACTTCCTTATGAAAATTCTAGCCGAGCAGACACTCCTGACTCTACAGAGGAGATGAGCTCAGAATCTAAGCAAAGTAGAAACTGCGATAGTCCTAAGCCTTTCTCTCTGTCTAGGCGACTGTCGCTGTCAAGTAATGCCAGCAGCAGGCGTGCCCCCACTGATCTTCAAATATAGTGTGAGTTAATCTGTCAATCTCACTAGTCAATGCTGGGATAATTATTGGACATTGCGACATAAGCAAGACCTATCTATAATAGTAGCTAAATTGTTCAACTTTAACCAGCTGTTTCACATAGATAGAAAAAGTGAAATATTCAAAGCCCTTTGAATATTAGCTAAGTAACTTTTAAAGTCTCGTTACTTCCTTTGTAACGAAAGGATGGCTTAGACCTCAGCATATAAACTTCTACACTACCCTTCCAGCTAAGAAGGAAAACATACATTGTGTAAGTCCACATATTAGGAAAAGTCAGGCATAAAATCACAGCTGGTACTATTTAAACTGAATAAAGGTAGAATACAAAATTTACAGTCTAATTCTATTTTACGAAGAACAGTAAATGACATTAGGCTAAAGATGGCACTGGCACTCTCAGGGGAAATTAATTATCGGTAAATATGTTTCTGCTTAATCTCTCTGAGAATTCAAACAGACATTTGATAGCTGTCTGAAAGCAGAATGTCAAACATATTCTGCTGTTTGAACTGTTAAATACAAAAAGAACAAAACATTTGATACATGTATCACTAATTCTTTGACTCCACCTTCTGCTTTTTTTTTTTCAGTGTATCACCACTGACTTCCTCAGCAGAACAGAGTGAATCTCTTATCGTATACTATTACCATTAAATACACTATTACATTTTTAAAGCATCATGAATTACAAATGAGTTGTGAGCTTTAATTTTGAAATTTTGCACATGTCCTGGTTTTGCCTGGGATAAAGTTAATTTTCTTTCTAGTAGCTGGTACAGTGTTATGTCTTGGATTCAGTATGAGAAGAATGATGATAATGCACTGATGTTTTCAGTTGTTGCTAAGTAGGGTTTAGACCAAGTCAAGGATTTTTCAGCTTCTCATGCCCAGCCAGCAAGAAGGCTGGAGCGGCACAAGAAGTTGGGAGGGGACACAACCAGCACAGCTGACCCAAACTGGCCAAAGGAATATTCCATACCATATGATGTCATGCCCAGTATATAAACTGGGGGGAGTTGGCCTGGGGAGTGGATTGCTGCTGGGGAGCTAACTGGGTATCGGTCAGCGAGTGGTGAGCAATTGCATTGTGCATCACTTGTTTTGTGTATTCCAATCCTTTTATTATTATTATTGTAATTTTATTATTATTATTATCATTACTATTTTCTTCCTTTCTGTACTATTAAACTGTTCTTACCTCAACCCACCAGTTTTACTCCCCCCCCCGGATTCTCTCCCCCATCCCACTGGGTGGGGGGGAAGTAAGTGAGTGGCTGCATGGTGCTTAGTTGCTGGCTGGGGTTAAACCACAACCTCGTAACACTAATAAACTAGCATTTATTTTTTTTTTAATCAGAAAACAAGTTACTGAAATGTATTAATCAGAAATTTTGGATTTCACAAACCAGAAGGCTTACTATGGTAAAAAAAAAGAAAAGAATGGTAGTACCTTCCTACTTTCAGTTACAATGTCAAAAAATATGTAAAAGGTTTACCAAACTGTAAAACCACTCCTTTTCTGGATGCTACGGGGTCCATCTGTCCCCCGAATTCTGACAGACTTTTAAATCATAGAATGCTTATAATTGTTTAGAAGGAGCATTTCCATTTATGCTTTTTATGGGGGTAATAAATAAAGGACATTCATCCACTTGCTGCTCCAGTCCATATAGTGTAAAGCGAGTTCCATGAAACATCTTTAAGTAATAAAGGAGGGAAAGATGAACAAAATACTATGTTACATTTGTAATCGAGACTTCTATGAATGAAATACGTTCACTTGAGTTGCACAGCACTGACAGGCTGTAAATACTTAGTGAGGTGGTCACATCTGGGATGCATTAGTGTATACACGTATATTTTTTACTAGTGGATTTGACTTACTGTACGCATACTGGAAAATAATCTGTGAGATGTAGCGTCACAATGTTACGGCATCATTAAATTCTTAATGGGCATTATCATTATGCTTACAAGCCAGCCATGTTTCAGATTGGCTGAAGGCTGTACAATATTAGGAAAAAAAGGAGCCAGAAAACCTTAAAGGCTCTTCTGCTTGCAGCAGCAGCATTAATTTGTCCACGTAAGAAATATGCATTAATACTATTAAAACTGTTCACTGTAGATTTCTCTCCAGCAGCTGTTCTTCTCACGTCTAGTATACATAAATACAGCCCTATGTAATTCTGCTTACACTGTAAAATTTAACACTGTGTAATATACAGGAATGTATATAAATGTCTAGTGTGATTTAGCTGAGTTAATGCTGCTACTGTGGCTTTAATTCTTGCATTTCTTGATGCATAAGTTTCTGTGGGTGATAACTGTGCTAATGCATGCTTTACATTTAATGTCTCTGTAATAGAAAGCCTAGTATTTAATGCACTCCGCTCCCACTGTCTAAATAATAGAAAATTAGCATTTAGATGCTCACATATGGGATATGACATTTGCACTTCTGTTGGTTCAAGACAAGATAACATAAAATCACAGCTGATTTTACACAAAACACAAGATAATTTGTTTTTCTGCTGCTGACCGAGGATTTTTATTAACTTTTGTTGTGTGGACATGGGTCAAGCATTCTATTTCATCACAGCACCTTGCCAACAGAAAAGCTTAACTTAATTCCAGTGAAAATTGAAGATGTTGCAGAAGAGCGCGCAGAAAAAGTGTGGAAAGACCCTAACATTGCAGGTGCAAGATTATTCGGTTGTTTCTTTTATTTATTTTTATAATCAATAGATTTTATCGGTCAGCAGGTACCGCAGCTTTTCACAAAAATAAGCCGGTATAACGGCTTCCGGTTTTTAAACCAGGCTAAGGCAAAAGACTTTCTTTTCGACGCGAAGGTTTCACCGCATGTAACCCCTCGGAGCCCCTTGGGTAGGCAGCTCTGCAGCTGCAGCTTGCTGCAACTTTCTCCTCCCGCGATTTTTCAGTCCGCTCCCGTTCCCGCTCAAGCCACCAGCACCACAGTTACCCGATCTGACGGAAAGCCGCGCTGCCCAGGCGCAGCGGCACCTCGCCGCCCGCAGGCACAGTGAATGCCAGACGTCCCTCACGACGGGACGCGGGCCACCGCCCCGCCCTCCGGGTGACTCCCGCTGCGGCAGCGCGCCCTCTCACCGGGGGGACCCGGGGGCCGACCGTCGC